GAGCAGATCAAGATTTCTATGGAATTCTGAAGGAACATAGGTACTTATTACTATATTACCAAATCAAGAACTTCTGAATATTGAAAATTTCTAAACCATCTAATATATACTGCTTTCCACTTTGCTGTTTCTTTTATTACACATTTGCAAGAAATGCAAAGTAAAAGATGAAAAGGCAAACAGTAACAACAATGAATGATCTTAAATCAGCACATTTTATGATCAATGGTATAGCTTTCTCAGTGAGTACAAATAATCATTTGCTCCATACTTCAGAGCAAGAGAGTCTATTTAACATTTTCATAATTTAAAAGGAAGAATTTTATGAGTTAGAGAAGAACTTTTGTTCTTTTTTTTGGTTTTACTGTTTTGTAGTTTTTCAATGTGACGTTACCTTTGATGGAGATTTAATTGAACATGGTTGATTTTTCTTAGGTGCAAGGCAATGTATCTGATTGCCATTAACCATGCTTCCACATAGCATTATTCTAAGGCAGAGGTATCTATAAAAACAAACTCGTTTGCAATGACTTGTCTCTCTTATCATCTGAGAACCAATTTGATTTTTAAAAGGCCAAGAAAATTTCTGTGATTTGTAATATATTTCAAGACTATGTATTCTAACATTCCTCACTATCAAGAACCATTAAGTCAAGCCAGCCCTGATGGCCTGGTGGTTAAAGTTCTGTGCGTTCTGCTTTGGTGGCCCAGATTCCATTCCCGGGCACAGAACCACACCACTTGTCTGTCAGTAGCCATGCTGTGGTGGTGGCTCACATAGAACTAGAAGGACCTACAACTAGAATATACAACTATGTACTGGGGCTTTAGGGAGGGGGAAAAAAAGAGGAAGATTGGCAACAGATGTTAGCTCAGGGCAAATCTTTCCCAGCAAAAAAGAACCACTAGGTTCCCAACAAGACTATAGTCAGGCTGCAGTAAGTGGAGACTTGAGGACCAAAGTTGCAGATGAATCCAGCTTCAGAGGAAAAAACCCCAAAACCAAGAAGTGCAATTTCAATTCCATTCACAATGTTTCTGATCTCATAGGAAAGCAAAGATTTCTAATATAAGAGGCCTACAAATTTCTCCCCAATATGGAAATAACACATTCACAAGATTAAAAATAATCAAGCAATAAAAGAAGTCTCCTTTCATCCCAGATTCTGAGCCGTCAACTGCTTTTTGTATATTTCTTCAGAAAATCCTAATGCATAGACACATAGATGTGCATCCTCTTTCTTTACATAATGAGGACATATTACATGCAGTGTTCTCTACTTTGGTTTTGCCTTCAAGTTTTATATGAGAGAATTTTCTATAGCCTCACATGTGGAGAAACCTCATTGTTTCAAAAAGCATTGCAGTATTCCATCCTGGGGATAAACAGTCCTCGATATGCTATTGCAACAAGAGTGCAATGGACAACTTGTATGAAAGTCTTTGTGCTCATTTGGAATTTTATTTTAGATAATTCCGAAATTTGTAATTACTGAGTAAAAGGGCATATACACTTAAATTTTTTGACAGGTATTTTCAAATTGGCCTTCAAAAAGACTGTACCGATTTGCAACCTCATCAACAAAGTATGAACCATTCCCTGTCCCACGTCTTCATCAACACTGTGCACTAACTGCTTTGATCTTGACAAATTCTTCTTAGATGCTTATTTACCATCTGCATTTCTTTCCCTATATCTGCATGTTCAAACTCTGCCCAATTTTCTCTTGGGTTGCTGATCTTTTCCTTAAGTATATTTTAAGAACTAGTTGTATATTAATTAAATTAGCCCTTTGATTAGTATATGTCCACAGATACGATCAGTTTTTGTGTTTTTTTGGTCTGTTACTTGGTTTTGTGGTTTTCTTGCGTTGGATATTCAAATTTAATAATGCTTTCTTATAAGCCTTCTTGATTTTATCATCATTAAAAAGATTTTGCTCATCACTGAAATCAACCAACCAACAAAGAAATAGCCAAGATTTTTTCCTAGTGATGATGGTGATGATGGTGATGACGAAAATGATGATAATGATGATGACATTAAGCCCTAATATCTAGAATTTGTTTTATTCAGGAGAATGAGATAGAACCCAAGATTTATTTATTTTTTACTTTTCCAACTGCCTAACTTGTGGTTTAAAAAACCAACTTTGTCAAATTACAAAATGCCTTAGGTGTTTGAGTATTTCCTGGTCTCTGTTTTAATCCATTAATCTGTGTGTTTTATCCTCTGCTAAGATAAAACTCATTTAACTTCTTTAGCTTTATAATATGTTTATAAGAGCTGGTGTTCTCTCATTACATACACTACTATTTCAGAATTCTTCCAGCTATTTTCACAAATAATTCTTCACACAATGTTGGTGCCCTTGTGGTTCATTTATAAATAACAAATACGTAAAAAATACTGCCTTTCTATCCAAGAACATGATATGTCTTTCTACTTGTTCAAGTAGAAAGTATTTTTTTGTCTCTAAGTAGAATTTAAAATTTTTGTTCTAAAATTCTGTAAATTTATTACCTCTCTGCCTACAGCAATTTTTCTGTATTCTCTCTCTCTTTTTTTTTTTTGTGAGGAAGATTGGCCCTGAGCTAACAGCCATTGCCAATCTTCCTCTATTTTGTATATGGGATGCTGCCACAGCATGGTTTTGATGAGCAGTAGGTAGGTCTGTGCCCAGGATCCAAACCCACAAACCCCGGGCCACTGAAGTGGAACGCGCAAACCCAACCACCACGCCACTGGGCTGGCCTCTGCATTCTCTTGATGTATTTTCAATGTTTTCCTTAGAAATTGAGTAAGTTTCCTAGCTATACAAAATCATACTATTTGTCAAAAATCATTTTTCCATTCTCTTTACAATTTTCACATTTTTCTTGCCAATTATCTGTCTTGTCTAATTGTACCCGCTAGTATGTTAAGAACAATACCAAATAATACTGGTATCTGTGGGCATCTTTGTCTTTTTCCTAACTTTAAAGGTAAAACACTCATCTGGATGCTGGCTTTCTTATAAAGGTTTGGGTGAAAACGAAAGACAACAGAAAGGTTTCTTTTTTCTTACTCCATCCATGAATCTCAGGAGAACTGTGCAGGTAAACATGCCATGTATTTTCATTTACAGTTGCTTTAAAGTGTGTTTTAATCATTGTGGTATGCAATATTAATTTTACATAGAAATAATAAAAAATATTATGTTTTACAGAAGGAAAATGTCTTTTAAAAAAATACACACACACTCACACACAGATATTTAACACCACAGCATGAAGCTGGCAGAGGGGTTCACTATCAAAGCAGTTTTGTTTTTATTTCTAATCTTCTTATGTATGCATTTTCACCAATTTAGTAAAGACAAATCCCAATATGCTCGTGCCTCTCATTTTAGCTTTTGTGATTTCTTTCTTTTTTCTCTTACCGTTAAAATTTGTGTGTTCGAAATCTTTACAAATAAATGAGCTGAAACAAATAAAACTGAATTCGCTTGAGATTTTGAAGACGTCTGGTGGAATTATTTTCTAAGTAATTAGACCAAGAGGTGGGGCAATTCCCTGAAGTAACCTCCCGTACGGTTGAATACCCAGTTATTCCTACAGTCCTCAGCCTGCATGCAGTGAGCATATTGATTCACAAATTGACCAACAATTATATAGAGCTGCCACCTGATTTTCTAAGACCATTTGTGTTATTATGAGTATAGACCTCACAGGCTTTTTTAAAGGATGCGTCTTCCCAGCCCTCTCTCAGTCTGCTCTATTTTTTACGTTCCGTCACCTCAATATGCTCTTCATGTTGTTAGAGACACTGCACGCAGATCCCCCTCAAGTGCTGGTCTCTGCTTGCCCCTGGTTAATTCAATATTCGGAGGCAAATATGAATTAATTAAAATTTGGATTTTGAAAATATGTATCCATTTTAGTATGTAGAGATACCTAAGAAAGAAAATGAAGATATTTAAATGTTCCCACTTACGCCAAATTTGTCACTATGTAGCTTGGAAAAATTGATCAGTGAAGTCTTAATATTTAAAACATGTGTCTTAATATTATAAAATTATAAATCTAGAAGGGATCTGAAAGTTGAAAGTGCTATTCTCCCTGCTGGAGAGCAAAAACACTAAAACCACTGAAGAAAGATATATATCTTTCCAATTTAAAATAACTCCAGGAAATTCCATAACAATCTTACGTTACCCACCGAGAAGTAAAAAATTGCTATCAAGAAAGTTTCCTTGATAGCCAATCTAAATCCCACAGGTTATTAAAATCTACTTCATACGCTCTATGCCTTTAGCATTTTACTGATAAGGATGATATTTACAGAACAATAAAGTCAAGAGTTTAACCATGCCAGGAGCAAAGATACCCTGATCAAGACCCACCCAGACTCTGGCTACACTCAACACTTCTCTTTCCAGATGTCAGACTATCACTACTCTCAATCACTCTAGATTTAACTTGAACTAAGAATTAGGTAATCAGGATTCATTTTTAGATGTAAGTTAAGGATACAGGATATTTTGAATCTACATTATTTACAAATTATTTTGAAAATATAAGGGGAAATTATGCATGTGAATTATCATTTGACAGTCACGTAAGCAAGTGTAATTATCCCTAGTTGAACATGTTCTCCAACCCCAGGATATTGAGATCTGACACCAGACTTGACACACAAGTGAAATTCAACGACATCTTTGATGGGGCATTTACCATTAATTCAGTGTGTTCACTCTCATTATTTACCTTCTTCCGCATGAACCATGTTTGAATTCCATGTAGTCCAACAGGAGTCAAGTCAAGATTTATTCATCACGTTTGACTTTGCAATGCATGGAACGAGATCATCAAATCTTAACCAAACTGATTCAAAACTTTTTGCCAAAGGATAATAACTCCATTTTCAGTTTCACTAATTGAAAGAACAGTATGACAACACACCAAAGAAGCAAGTAAATGAACCCTCAGCAGCAGTCCAAATGCAATGCAAAACTCACCAGAGGTTTCGTCTACCCTCTCATCTACTATGTGGTCCTTCTGATGAACCCATTCACTATTGCACTTGAAGTAGATCTGGGTGGCAGGGCTGGCTTTACAATACAGGTTCACAGGCTTATTCTTCACAATATAAGCTTCTTCAGGCTCAATAAGGAAATGTGGCAGAGGCTCAGGAGGATCAGATGGAAAGGTTTCTGGGAGTTCGTGAAAAAAATCGTCGTCTGGTAAAACAAGAAGTGGAAAATGATCAAAACATTGTAGCCGCTTGCCTTTTACTTGCTACTCATTTAAAAATAATGACTCACAAATGATCTAATTAAGTAATTTGAGTGCTTCCTATGAATCAGGCAGTATGTTAGGTCTATTGACTGGTTGCTCACTTAAGGATTTAGATTATTATTCTCATTTTCACTTATGGTAAAACTCAACATTAGGAAGGACAGATATTGTGCCCTGAGCGCACAGGTAGTTAATAGCAGAACTGGAATCAGAATCTAGGTTTGTCTCACTCAAAACCTGTGATCTCCCCAATACAGCCCCATACCTCTCACTACTCAGGTCTACGCTTGAGAGCTGACAAAAGCCAAGGAGACTTTATTAGGAAACTTTGTTTGAAAAGTATAAGGCTCATAGGTAAACCTTTAATCCCGTGTAAGGAGCTGAGAAGGAACACTAGAAACATGAATTAAGGATCTTTAAGTTCAGATTCAAATCTATCATTATTTTCAAAAGATGCCACTGCATGACAGATTTATTCATTCAAAGCAGAAATATTTACTGAGCACAGAATTTTTCTGAGCCATGGAAGCACGGATGATAATGTCAAGTTAGCCGACAGTAGATCCACAGCTGAGCCTGGAGTCTAGCAATGCTGTTTGGTCTTATTCGGGAACTATACCTCAAATCTCCTATGTGTTATATGAGTAGTCAAACTTATTCTCATTAGAATATTGCTGAGCATTATCATGAAGAACAGCAGTCGCAGTTTTTATAACACTGAAAATTATCAAATATATCACTCCCACCCTGCTGTTCCACCACCACTGAATAAACAAAACCCCTGAATCACTGGAGATATTTGTACACTTTGAGGTATCTTTTTCTGCATGATTCCACATAAAAAATAGAAAAAAGTAAAAGTGCCTTGAAAAATCTCATTATCATATTTCACAAAATTCAAAGTAAAAAGAGTCTTTTCAACACGCTCCTGACAAATTAGGCCTAATAATTCTCTTCCTGTGAGGGATCGTGTAGAACAAAACTACTATTAATTCCATAAGTTGATTAGGCACTGCAGGCTAAAATGTAAGGCTAAAACTCTGAGGTCAAGATTAAAACTTTTCACAAGTTCTTTAACAGTACCTATATTCAGTAGCAAATACAGGATACGGTATTTGTACTTAAAGACGTGTTGCTTGGATGTTAACTTGAAGCTTATTTCATCACTCATTCAGTTGTTGCCCTATTTTAGGAAATGCCCAAAGCGGACATTTGTCCACTAAGAAACCTGGCCTAAGACTTTTCATCTATGTCATGGGATAGCCGTCAAATAGTAATGACGTCTGGTCTCTGCCAAACTGTTTTGCAGTAAAAATTGGCTTCACCTGCATCACAGACAAAACTAGCTTTCAAAGCTGCTTCACAATTAGAAACTCCTGACACTGGAATGTAAATGATGCTTTCTTTTTCACTTTACTTCCTTGATTTGCTTTCTTCTGGCAGGGCATCATTTCTGGTTTTTCCACTGTTGAACATCAAGGACTCAACCTGTCAGCTTACTAAAGAATAACCTTGTTTCCATCAATTTCAGCTTCCTTAGTCAATATGCAAGAACACTCAAGACTCCTTAAATAAACAGTTCAGAAAGGCAAAGGAATGGGGAACTGAGGTATTGACAGACCCATCAGCATGAAGCTGAAGTCTTGAAGGCCTTATTCAAGTTTTTCTTCCAAAGCACTTACTGTTGTATGTAATGATGGACAGTGCTGATAATCAATAAAGCGCCAGAAAATATCAGACTCAAATGCTGTAAAATGTTAGCTGTTGTTTTAAATTATTATTACTCATAAAGGTAGAGGATCAACTTGATTTTTTTTACTATTGGTGTATATTTATACAAACAAAAACGTGTATGTATTTCATAACGTATATTTGTTCAGGTATGCACATATAGAAAGCCTTTCTTTGAGTCATTGTTTCAGAAGGGGAGATCTGTTCCTTTGGAAGGAATGATGATTGCAGGTTATCCAATGATTGGTTACTCCCTTACCTTGTTCAATAATGCAGCAAAAGTGCTTATACCGTCACATCTACGGAAAGACAGAGGGCCACTACAAATTGATTACTCTTGCTGCAGAAGCATGTATCTATTTCTTCGGATTATTTTATTGTAAACTACTCAGAAGACTAATGGACAATGAGAAAGTCATACAGGTTTTCAAGTCAAAAGGGGCTCTGTTAAGTGCTGGAAAAAAGAGTAATGATTTAATGATGTATTTAGAAAATATATGGACAAACTAATTTTGCATTTCCTTAATCTGGAGTTTTAAGACAAGAGAACCACTACAAGAAAAGAGAAGTAATTCTATGTCTTGGTTGAAGGCTTCATAAAATGTCGATTTTTCAAGGTGTTTGTTAAATAACACTTAGTATGTAACTTGTCAAGGAATGATTTCTATCATTTGAAATGTTTTCATCATGTGGTAGATACAGCGTTTCTTTTACATAATATTCTAGCTTCTGTATGAACCTCGTCTCTTAGATTTGATCGAGAGATGCCTTAAGCAACCACAGCATATTAGTTTATTAATATTTCTTGTAAGATATGTACAGGATATTTAAGTCTATGTCCTAGATGAATTCATATCAGGCAATATGGCACATCACTTTTAGCACTCAATTCAGGTGTTGGGAATGACATTTATAGAGAAAATTTTTAAGACCCTGAGTCAGTAAGCTATGTACAGTGGGACAGTCATGACAAAATGCACATGAGCTGATTATCAGTGGGCTCACGGCTGTTGTGAAATTCTTCCCTTCTTTATTTGCAACAGATGGCCTGGGTACCATGCCCAACCGTGGAAATTGGCCCAGATAACAACTCCCTCATCACCAGGTTAAGTATGCTGAAACCACTTTCCTTGCTCTAGACAAAAATGGTAAATGTCAGCATTAATTTCCAGATGTGATGGTATTTCAGAAATTGTCTTTTTATGAAATTTCATGTTACCTTTTTTTCTAGAGTAAGTTTTGAAAATCAAATAAGCAAGCCAATTCTCTTCAACCAAAATTATAAAGAAAAACATCTGAGTATTTAAATATCCAGCATGGTTAATTCTATATGTATTTAACAAGGAAAAAATGATCATCTCTAAATACCATGTGCATTTAACAGGGAAAAAATGATCGCTTGCAAATGGTCCTCGACAAATACCTCTCCATGAACATTTAGCTCTTCTGCACTTGCTTCACACACGTATGGAAGAATCTCCTTTTCAGCTTTGACAACCTGTTTTACTCATCTATTCCCAAGTTTCAAAAGCCAGAAATACATAACATTAGAATGAAAGCTCTTTGAAGGCAGGGACTATTGCCATTTTCGTTTTTACTTTCGATAAGTCTAGCATAGTGCCAGGCACATTATAGGAGGTCAAAAAAATCTTATAAAAGTATGAAGACTATGCTAATGGAAACTTTGACCATTCCTAAAAGATTCACAAGGAATTTTAGAGTTTACAGTGCCTCAAATTTCATGTACAAATATAAGGTGACATAACAGTAGTAAGATCTACAAACTGGACTGTCTACAAAATTTGTGTGGCTCAGTGCAGAATGAAAATTTGGGGATCCCTGTTAAAGATGTATTAAGAATTCTGAGATAGCGACAGCAGAGCATTAAACCAAGTAGCGGGTCCTGTATGACAGCACAGGTCACATACCCATGAAGCTGGCCCTGTCTACAAATGTCAGTTAACTGAGCGTTCCACTTCATGGAATGTCTGAGAATTGAAATTACATCTTTATTAGTGGCTATTCGTTTTAGAACTTACTTGGTATGTCTCACCTTCTTATGGTGATCAGATGTTTGCTAGAAGAAGGTACGGTTTTTCAGACTGAGAAACTCAGGCTCCACTCAATTCTCTAAGCAGGTGTGTTTGCAGTGGTGTGCAAGGGAAAGCGTGTGATTTCATCTGTTCCTGGCTTTCCCTTTGGATGTACTCCAGGCCCATCCATGGGCCTCATCCGAAAAAAGTAGAATCCCTGCCACCCTGAGGTCAGCTCTTTCAGGGCGCAAGAGGACTGTGTAATCCATGGGGTAGTAAGGTCTAAGAGTCTCCCTTGAGCTGGCAGACTGTTTACTGAAATCAGTTCCTAGCACGCAATGCATTTTCCTACACAAATAAACCAGCTTTCTGATACTATTAAGGTCATGCTGCAAAAGTTGAAGCTATAATGGAACAATGTGATTTTCAGCAGGGAGTCAGTGAGTACATCCTCTTACCACTTTATTTCTTAATATAAATATCCAAAGAGTCTTCTGAGGTCTCCAGGGAGATAATAGGAACTCAATTTGTGAACAGCAACTTCAGCTAGTAAACTTATTCCTGGCAACATGCCACAGACATCCTAAATTAGTATATCTTGTTATAAAGGCACAACCCAGATGCTGATATTGACAGTGTTGTGCTATTTGGGCAAAAATGGCTTGATAAACTAAATTGCTAAACAAGTTTTCTACATGTCCTTTATTCAAATTATCAAAGTAAAATTTCCAAAGTTGGTTTTGTTCTGTACATTGAATTCAGTATTAACCTAAAGCTATGACTGCCATTTGAATTCAGATGTAACATTGTTCATTTTACTCTGCTCTAACACTTGACTTAATTTTCCACTTTCTACCATTATTCAATAATGATATTGCCATTTTTATCTTGACATCAGGTAAATCTCAGTATTTCCTTTTCTGTTATCTTATATATAGCCTTTTGTTTTTTTCACTTATATACAAGAACAGAAAGTTCTGCACCATGTATTATTTTTATAGACTTTCATTCCACCTAATTCTTGACAAAAAAATATTACGCTATGAACATCAATCTAGGAAGCTTTATATTGCTGGTTTTATTGCTATATATCAAGCCTCAATTTTCATCAACTTAATACACAAGTTTCCATATTTCTGAATCATAAGACTTAAACTATTATTGCTCATATCATAAAA